AATGTATGAACCTCCACGAGTAGGATTGTATTTGTCATAGTTGAATTTCAACTTATCAATATGCTTTAACACCAATCCACTCTCCGACATCTCCATCTTATCTAACTGAAACTCTATGTCAGTTGCCATTTGATTTAACTTTTGGGGGATTTCATCTTCATTGGTGATGTTATATCTTCTACTTCTGATGCTCTCCCTTATCTCTTCGTTAGTTTTCTTGCTCTTCATAGTGGCGGAAACCTGTAAAATAACTTTCATACCCTTGTGTTTCATCAAATACTCTTTCAACCTTAAATCTTGGTATTTGAGATACTGTAGCGCCTTGATGCCTCTAACTCTGACATTTGTGATGGCAAATGAATTGACATAACCCTTGAAAGCAGATTGTTCGTTGGTGGTGGTTGCTTTGTATCTCATTTGGATGCCTGTGAGTGCTTTGTTCTTGTCAAGATTGACCCATCTAATGCCTTTCTTTTCCTTCAGTTCATACTTTTTGTAGTCCATAGTCTGCCTAATCTTGTTGAATTTGGTGTTCAATATTTTTGATATGGGTTTTCCCCTTTCAAAGTTGTAGGTCTTCTCTCCAATCTTGAGTTTCTTGAGTTCCTGTCCATTCCGTTTCAATATCTCACCCTGTTCGGATGACAAAAGATAATCTAAAACAATCTGCTGTGAAGTGTCCATTATAGTATATTCTATATTATTATTAGTGGATGTTTCTTTAAGTAGTTTTTCAGTTTCCATTGTTTGTTGAGGATGTTGCGGTTGATTGGATTGGTTGTCTGATTGATTTTTAACATAAAATGTCTCTGTTGAATGTTTCAACCTTGTATCCTCTGCCATTTACTCCTTACCCTATAAGGTGGCATTTCTTTAAGTAGTTTTGGGTATTGGTTGCCTGTTGGAATTTCTGGGATTGGGGTTGGACTTCAACATAAAAACCTTCTCAATAAAAATGTTTGTTATTGAGAAAATTTTGGATTGGAAAACCCTTTGAACGAAACGTGCCGTAAGGTGTCTTAAAGCACCTTTCAACATTGGCATCTGTTTCTCATACAAACGTTGGTTTGACGGTGTTTGGATAAATTGGATTTGGACGAAATGGTGCGTCCGCAGTCGGGACACTTGAAGGGTGTTGAGAGTTTCTTTTGATAGTATTTTGAGAAGTATTCGGGGTCTAATGGTTTGCTGTCATAAGTTCCATCGGGTTTCCATCTTGTAGAGGTTTGGATTGGGGGTTCTTGGACTGTTTCTGGATTGAGTGCTTCAACCATTTGGTCAAAGATGTCCTCATCCATTTCTTGCTTCTTACCATCAATTACTAAATAGCAGGGCATATCAAATCTTAATTACATAAGGCGACTTGTCTTTAAGTATCTTTGGGGTGTTCTGTGTTCGCAAATGAGGTGTCCCAAAATGATGTGAAAAGAAATTCGAAAAGACCAGTTTAGGACACTTGTTGAATACTGTTCCTGCCGCTGTCAAAGTTGTTAGAATGCCATTGTCGTTGTTGCAGCTTGTTGGGAAACTGCAACTGCATTGTCTTCAGTTGAAGTTAGCAGTATGGCGAAGCCTCATTACCCAAAAAACATGCTCATCTGCCATCAACTCCTGCAGGGCGGATGGTTTGTCTCTCTTCGTTTCCACGAAAAACAACTTGAACTATTTCATCACATATGCCTATATATATATATACACATAATAAACATTAACCCTGCCACACCGTCCAAACCCGTTGGATGCTCCAGACCACTCCGACGAAACTTGATTTCCCTGAAGAAACAAGATGAACAAATCGGGAGGATTAAAGGGTCTGTGGGTTTGCGCGGGTGTGTGGTGCATATGAACCAATACATGCTCAAGGGGCATGGACAGAATGCTCCCCCAAAAGATTGCTAAATTAATCATCGCCAACGTCAAGTTTTGGAGACTGCTTGGAAATGTCATTCCAGCAAATCTTTGGTTGGATTTTCACCGAAACAATCAGGTTTTGAAGGCTGTTTAATAGTTCGCTGCTTCAAGGCTTTGATAGAACCCGTTTCCCAAATCTTGCATTATGACAAATGCTGGGATTGACCTTCTAATAGATGGTGTCCCTGATGCCTTCACAGCCTTGGCGCGGACGCATTCGGCAAGTGGAAGAGGGCAATTGGATGCAATTGGATACAGTAAAGCAGTGAAAAGTGGTTGATATCATCACCAAACTTCTGGGCCTGAAGAATGCTACATTTGAGAGTGCCAATCCAACAACTGCGAAACTAACCAATCTTCAATCTCTGCCATTTCATTTCACTTTTGCTCATCCAGTCTTGGAACACTGTGCAGTCTGTCACACCGGTGCATTGTGCAGCGCAGATAGAATGCATCCCGGATTGAAGGGTAGGTGCAACCCCAATAAAAATCATCACCTTTCTGTGTTTTGCCAGTCTGGTTGGACGCAATGCGGATTGCACCATCCATGAATCACGAATGGCACCTTCAGTGCATAACGGATTGCACCCGACCTGCAATCCAAAAGTCCTACTGGTCCTACAAGGAACAAAGCACTCTCATTCACACGCCACTGCCACTTCCGCCTTCAGACCTTCTTCAAAAGGTCATGCACTGTGCGGGACACTGCGCAGTAGCGTCGCTCCTCTGCCCGCGCATCCACATAGATGCAATGAGCTCCTTGTCGCCGCACCGCTGCGGCCATGTGCGCAGGCGTGAAGTGTTCCCTGAACCTCTCAGCATCAACACACTGCTCGAAGGAGCTATGCGCCACGGCCTTGGCCAAGGTGCGTGCCATCCTAACCTCTTTTGGGCCAAAGCCACCTTGGTTGTCAATGCCCAAGAAGTTCTGGACCTGACTTCTTTGCACCGTAAGCCGTTTGGACTTTGCTTCTTCCCACGATGTCTCTTTGGCATTTTGCGCCACGTCCTGCAGGAGATGTGGGCAAGTTTCAAGGTTTCACGGTTCGTTGATGTTTCGGGTTGTTGTCCCATGGTTTCATGACCCTTGTCCTCCATTACACCGATTTTGCCACCTGTGAGTTGAATCATGTCGCTCTTGTGCGTGGAGGCCTCTTCACCGCCATGATGACGTAGGAATTCCTCAACCTGACAAGGAGACGTCCATCTGCAAACATCCCAACCCATGCCAGAAGTAGCACCAACAAAAAGCACTAAAGTGATTGAAGGTGACTGAACAATTACCACATGAACTGAAGCTCTTCATTATGGCCTCCTTCTGCGAGAGCTCTTCACTCGTCAGTGGTGGAACGAAGAATCGGCGCTCACGACCGTCTGCGTCAAAAGCCATGGCTGACACTGCAGAACTGACCATCACCAGCACTTTGGCAACCTCGTCATCAAAGCCCCATGACTTCGCAAAGGCGGAGACGCTGCTCATCACAGATGGCTCGAAGACACCACGAGGAACTTCAAGGATGATGATGGGTTGCCGTCCCATTTCTTGTTTGGCATCTCTCAAACCACGCACCACCTCCTCTTCATGGAGCACTGCCAACGCGCTCATCACCTTTTCCGTGGCCAAGTGATTGTTCTGCGTGAGCTTGATGTGGAGCACTCCATTGTTCCACTGTTTCTCCTGCAACACTTCCCAAAGGATGGTGCTCTTGCCAACTTCATGGTTCCCCCAGATGAGGATTGGGCGGGGGTCGTCCAAGTCCAACAACTGGTGCATTTCGTCCTGCCACAGTGCATAGTGAGCATAGTGCATCAAATTCAAAATGTCAGTATGACATGAAATAACACCTATCTCAAGAACAAATCCCTTCTGTCAAGAAACGCAGGGACAAACACAACAAAAAAAAGGTGGTGCTTGGACGCCTTGATTATCTTCCGTTCAATCTTGACACGTGGCTCGCGTGCTTTGAAAGAGGCATTCACAATGATATTCTTCACTCGCTCTTGTTCTTGACGATGCCGCCACATATCCCATCCAAAGGTCACGATGGCCAAGGAGCCACCACCACCAACCAACCACTTTCCAATCTGCTGTTTCGTGGTCGGCTCCGTCTCTGGAGCGTTGTTTGAGAAGCAACGGTGGTTTCGTCGGCCTGACATGAGAAGCCGAAAACCACAACATCGGGCAATGAGGCAACGCGACATACCATGGCGGAAATCTCCAGAACTGGGACTGTGCTGGAGCTCAAGCACTTTACGATTTCTTGATGCGTTGACTTGTTCATAGTGCAACACATGCCGCAAGTAGAACTCATCTTATCTTGTGAGCATTTGTGAGCCTGTCTGCTGCGGGAGAAAGCAATCAACATCTCTGGGTGTAGTATAATGCCACAATGTGTACATAGAGTGTACATAGTGCCTCAAGAAACGCAATATGTCCTCAAAAGTGATGCTTCCATGCAAACGAAACAGCGCGCACATCGCATCTGGGCGCCCCCGACGAAATCCAGAAAGTCCATGAAGAAGTCCGCAAAAAATGAGGCGAAGCGAAAGACGTTCAAATCAAAACACAACCAAGAAAAAACGCCACCAAAAAAGACGAGAATGAGAGAATAAAAAATGAAAGATGTTGAAAGACATGGAACCTTTTGAAAGATATCAAGTTGAATGGTCTGTCTTGAAACTGATGATAAGGAAACACAATAAAATCATACCCAAAAAAAGACAAGACATACCTTGACAATAAAAAACGACAACCACAAGTACACTATCCACAGTATCTCCCTCATCTGGACCAAAACACAAACCCCAACAGCCTAAACAAATCCTACCCTCATCTGAACCAAACATTGACACATCACTTTAGCATCAAAATGACCCCCAAAACCCCACCTGAAAAATCATCAAAACCAAGGATGAAACATTGAACCCCAACACAAAATCATAACAAGCAACATACCAACATACACGCCCTGAAGCCCCCATTTTACCATTTTTTTCTGGGAAAACCTGCGGAACATACAGGGAGAATCCATGGGTGTAACTTCGGGGGATAACCAACGCGGCTGATGACACCCATCTCCCAAAACGGCCTCCCAGGACACCCACAACCAGCACGCCGCCCAGCAGAATGGCGGCGCCCATGATTCCCAAAGCTCCAGTTTCTCGGTGGCAAAAGAGTTGGTGAGACAAAAAATGGACTGACATCAAAGATTGGTAGTTATTCGAGCAGCCATGGTTTGGAGACTGTGGAAACATGGGAGATGCAGCCAACATTGTTTGTATGTCTTGAAAATATGACCTACACAAATTGGGATGTGATATCGTCTAACAAGAAAAAATATGAACCGATCACGATGACGGGCTTCCCATTCTGTTCACTTGCACACAAACGACAGCTTAGTACGACCCGATCAAATACTTGGTCAAGCAGCCAAAGATATTCATCTCCTTCTCGTCTGCTTTCTCCTGAGTCCAACCCCGAAAGCAATGAACTGTGGCACCTGTTTGTAGGTTGCTTCTCACTGGGACAATATGTGGAGAGCAGCACCAGCCAAACACGTCAAAATGAACACACCTGCTTCACGAACTTTCTCCAAGTGATTTCTGTTGGCCAGATTTCAGCCGAGTTTCTGCTTTTTTGAGCGACTCTGCGACAGTCTTGCCCTGGTATGAGTTCATGCAACCATATGCAACCATATGCAACCAGACTTTCAGGCTATTGCCCGCTACAAGTAGGATCAAACTTATGTTACACCATGTTACACTTATACAATTGTATACATATCAACTTTTGGTGAATGTTCTCTGAACGTTGCGATTCAGGTTGGTGGTACATTTTTGCAACACTCTGTTCTTGATTATAACTGTCCCATCTACATCCGTTGACAGATTGTTTTTTCCCCTTAACATTGGATGTTCCATTGCCGTATACTCCAGGCCGCCCTGGTTTCCTTCGCCGAAACGCCAGCATCACCTTGCAGCAGGCGCGAAGCTGTGGATTGTGGCAGTGAAGGCTTGGGAGCATACAGTGTCAAGCCCCAAGTTTCAAATCTTCATACATCTTTAAAAACTTGGAAAACCACCAAATCGTGATGTTTTTCCCCAACAGCAAAACTTTGCTATGGGGTCTTTAGCCCAGATTAGCTCCGGTGCGATCCGGTGCAGCTTCAACACCAGGTTCCGGACAAGGTTCCGGAGGGTTCTGGTGCAGATACCTCGTGAGGTTCCGGAGGGTTCCGGTGCAGATACCTCGCGAGGTTCCGGACAGTTCCTGTGAGGATATCTGCTGAAGCTCCGGAGGGTTCCGGTGCAGATACCTTGTGAGGTTCCGGAAGTTTCCGGTGCAGGTACTCGGTGAGGTTCTGGAGGGTTCTAGAGGGTTTTGGTGCAGGTACCTGGTGAGGTTCCGGAAGTTTCTGGTGCAGCTACCTGATGAGGTTCTGGAAGGTCTAGGTGAAAATGCGTGATGAGGTTCCGGAAGGTTCCGATGCAGAGACCTTGTGAGGTTCCGGAAGGTTTTGGCGGAGAAGATGCTTTGTGACGTTGCGGAGGGGTCCGGTGCAGATACCTTGTGAGGTTCCGGAAGGTTCTGGTGCAGATGCTTTGTGAAATTCCAAAGGTTTCCGATGTTTTTTATGGCATAAGCACTTAAGTTTTTTTTATGGCATAAGCACTTTTTATGGCAAAAACGCAGAAGCTTTCAAGCTGTTGGGGCTGGCACCTGAGTTTACGTTCACCTTAAAAACCATGTGAAAATTCCAACCAAACAGTGAAATTTGGATAAATGTGGTATCATCCGTTGTTGATTTTACAACATTGTAACCCAGCGAGCTGCAAGTCAAAGGTTTTCAGCAGAAACTCTTCACTCCTGCAAGCAAGGCACTGCCTTCCGCTTGCCTGAAGAAAATAGCGTCCACAAACAGCATCTGGAGATCTGAAGTCGAAGGAAACTGTTGTAACAGTTTTGGACACAACGTGCCCATGCAAGAGCTAGTGATACTAGAATCCGTTGAGTTCTGTCCCCATTCCTTTGGACACCTCGATTGGGCCATTGATCAATCGGTTGACATTGGCACCTCAACCTCCAAAGTGCTCAACTGAGACTTGGGCCTCGCAGTGAAGTGTTTCTGCCTTTCTGGCCGCAGGGTGCTCCTGACTTCCAGTAAGCGCACTTTCATCAACAACTTTCAAAGTCGAAAGTGTTTTAGGTCTGCCGGCAAATGTCGTGAATCAGACAGCGGAAAAGTCTCGAAAAGTCGGAACAGCAAAAATTGCCCTGTGCCACTGCTATGCTGGATCCACTTTGGCTAACTTTGGTGCATTTTCTTGGCTCAGGGCCTACTCTTCAGATCCAGGAAACCACGTGCACCTTTCTGCCCTGTCCTGTCTCCCCGTGGCAGCACAAAGGTCAGGAAGACGGGTAATGCTAGGAACGTCCTCGGAGGATGCGGTTCGTGTTGTGAGCTGCCCATGTCGGTAAAAGGATCACTTTGGAACTCAGTCAATAGCATCACTTTGGAACACAACCATGTTTGCATAGCCTTGAAACACAAAAAAACTACATCACATCAGACCGCAGCCAACAAAACAGACATCAGATTTACTGACAGGCCTCTACCAAAAAAAGGCCCCAATGAGAAATGTAGTCTTTAGGTCGATGTCACCAAGTGCCACGCCTGCCACACAAAATGAAGGTCGATGTCACCAAGTGCCACGCCTGCCGCACAACAGGGACGTCGGTGTCACCAAGGGCCACGCCTGCAACACAAACTGCACGTTGCCAATCCTGACAGTAACAATGGTTCTACCTTTTAGGTTTTTTGGGGTGGGGGCTGGGTTAGGGTTCACGACTCTTCATGGTTCAGGGTGTTAAAATGTTTCCAATCATGCGCCAATCCTGAAAATGCCAATGGTTCTACCTTTTAAGCTTTTGGGGGGTGGGGGACTCGGTTAAGGTTCACATCATGTGCCAAAACTGACACTAACAACGGTTCTACCTTTTAGGCTTTTTGGGGGGTGGGGGGGTTAGAGCTCACGACTGTTGATGGTTCAGGGTGTAAGAATGTTTCTTATCATGTGCCAATCCAGATGATGACCATGATGACTACGATGGTGACAAGGAAGATGAAGAAGATGATGATCAGCATCGTGGTGGTGGTCATGATGATGCCGACGATGACATATATGTGCGGTTGTTGATGGTGGTGATGATAATGATGGTCATGGTCATGATAACCATGATGACTATGATGGTGACAAGAAAGAAGAAGAACAAAAAAAGAAGAAGAAGAAGAAGATGATGATGATGATGATGGTCAGGGTCATGGTGGTGGTGATGATGATGTTGGACATGGTGATGATGATGTTGGACATGGTGATGATAATGATGATGATGATGATGATGATGATGATGATCATGAGGGGGAGGAGGACAATGGCGATGACGCGGATGATGATGATGATGATGATGATGACGATGATGATGATGATGATAACGAGGAGGAGGAGGGTGATGATGACGATGATGGTGATGATGTCATATATATCTACATAGTTGTGGGTGGTGAAGAAGATCATGGTGACCATGACGATTACAATGGTGACAAGGAAAATGAAGAAGATGATGATCAAGGTCATGGTGGTGGCACTGATGACGCTGATAATGACATATATGTGTGGTTGTTGATGGCGTGGTGATAATGATGGCCATGGTCATGATGACCATGATGATTATGATTGTGACAAGTAAGAAGAAGAACAAGAAGAAGATGATGATGATGGTGATGATGAGGATCATGGTGATGATGATGACGATGGTGACGATAATGGTGATGATGATGATGATAATGATGATGTTGATCATGGTGATGATGATGAGAAGGGGGAGGAGGACGATGATGATGATCATGGTGATGATGATGATGGTGATGGTGATGATGATGATGATGGTGATGATGATGATGATGATGATGACGCATACGATGATAATGTTGATGATGATGATGATGTTGATGTCATACATATATTATATATATGGCTGTGGAAGGTGATGAAGATCATGATGATCAGGCGCGTTCCAAAACGGTGTGTTTGGTCGCGCTCCGAAGCGAGGACCGTTCCCCAATTTCTGGATTCACCCTAAAAATAAAATAATGGTATGTAAAAATCACGAATGGATGGTGTCAACCCATGTCGCAACATGATGCTCAGTTTAGGACCATCCCTTTTTCAAAATGGTATCTCATTGTCCAGGGCATTTGAATTATATGCTTGTAAAAAACGCTGACTGATCTAGAAACTCAGGTGCCATGCCATCAATCGCTGGAACTATCATCGGCCTGCATTTTTTAATCCGTATATCTCATTGGGGTGCGAGTGGGGTAATGCGATTGGACATCCTGCAGCAATGATCGTTTAAGCTCCAGACAGCAAAGCGCCAGGACGCAGTCGCATGGCTGTTGAAGCTCTTGGCCGCGGTTGATACTCGGTGTCTTGGCGACATGTCTCACCACCAGCAATGGATAGCAATGGAAGCATTGGTGGGCAAGCAAATGTAGGCCAGAGCAGTTTTCAAAAGCTTGTGCGTCATTTAGCAAGAAGGACGGCACAAGGCGGTGGCGGAAGTTTCAGGGATGGGAAACCTATAGGAAAGGTTGAGTTGCTGTGAGGCATGGATGGCAAAGCGAATCCATTGATGGACCGAAAGGTGGTTGGCGCTGTGTTTTTTGGAATGGTTGCAGTGGTGACCTCGCAGTGGTGACCTCAAACACAACTGCTGTATGTAGTGTGGCGTAAACTGTAGTGCGAAGTATTATTTGTGGTTGCAGCTGCAGTTGCAGTTGTATTGTGATGTAATTGTAGATGTAGCTGTTGTGGTTGTAATTGTAATGTTGTAGTTGTAGTTGTAGCTGTAGTAGTCGTTGTAGTTGTAGTTGTAGTTGTAGTTGTAGTTGCAGTTGTAGTTGTAGTTGTAGTGTAGTGGTGGTGAAGTGTGGTAAAGTGTGGTGAAGTGGAGTGTAGTGTAGTGTAACGGAGTTGCAGCTGTGGCTGTAGTTGCAATTGTATTGTAGTGGAGTTGAAGCTGCGCCTGTGGCTAATGTTGTTGAAATTCCAATGTTGTAGTTGTAGCTGTAGCCCGAGTAGTAGTAGTAGTAGTAGTAGTAGTAGTAGTAGTAGTAGTAGTAGTAGTAGTAGTAGTGGTAGTAGTAGTAGTAGTACTAGTAGTAGTAGTAGTACTAGTACTAGTACTAGTAGTACTAGTAGTACTAGTAGTACTAGTAGTACTAGTAGTACTAGTAGTAGTAGTAGTAGTAGTAGCAGTAGCAGCAGCAGCAGCAGGAGCAGCAGCAGCAGCAGGAGCAGGAGCAGGAGCAGACGGCGTGCACTTTTTCATCATCTCAACTTCCAAAAGTGCTCCGAGAATGGTGCTTTGTACATTTTGACTTCGAAATGTGCTTCGGACCACAGCCGCGTGCAATTTTCATCTCTCATCTGGCCAGATGGCTCTGCACCCGCCGCTTTAGCGAGCCTACTTTTCGACCTTGCGGAGCCACAAATCATTGGAAAAACATGGAAAAACACCGTGTTTCGCGACTTTGCTACCTTTTTGCGCACCTGCATCTTCTGTCTCCTGCCTCTGTCTCTTCTCTGATCTTCTTTCTTCTTCTCTCCTCTTCTCCTCTCTGACTCTTCCCACCTCTGCTTTTTCATCTGTCATCATCTGTCCATATTGTAGGAAGTTTGACTTCTAAACTTCCTTCGATAAGTCTTTTAAATCCGTATTTTACGCAATTATAGTGATCAAAGAAAGTTTAGCTAGAAAACTTCCGAGTTACGAGCGATGGTCATGGCTAGCATTCACACCAGCGTGTCGGCAACATCGATCATCATGTCAACCACGTCAATGATCCATCATCAAGTAGTTGGGAATTTTTGTGACAGTTCGGAAAAGTGCCAATTCACGGGTGAAAACACTCTCGGGCGCGAAACCCTATGTTTTTTTCGGGTTATGCATGTGGCTCCTGGGGTCGCTGGAGTCTCTCCGGTATGGGGCCTCGACCTGGGAAAGTTGTTGAAAACAAACGCACAGGACTGTAGCAGGAGTTCGATTTCACAAACAAATCGTAAAAAACTGAGGGCCGCAGACTAGCCCTGGATTTGTGTGGTCGAGGCCGCACAGTTGCACTGCGCGAACTTGCTGGATTTCCGGCTGTGACAAAACCCACTGGCATGGCTGCACGCAGGAAAGCATCAGCGATGCTGCGACTCTGCTGCTGCATGCGGGATTACAGCTGCGCGAAGAGAAGAATTGGGCTGCAGAAGCCACGACGGAGAAGGTAGCTGGGAACACATTAGAGCAGAAGCAGCCCAGGCAAGAGGCTGCAAAGAGAAGACAGAGCAGTAGCTGGGAGAAGAGGCACCTCAGCGAAAGCGAAGAGGTCGGTCAGTGAAGAAGTAGCTCAGCAAAGAAGTACTCGGTCACTCATCCGTCCATCCATCTATCCCATCCATCCATTGTCTTGCGCTCATATTCATGGATGTTCTGATATGCAAGGGTCATGGATTCACTGGTTCATTGGGTACTTGTTCGCTTGCTTCACTGGTTCATTGACTCATTGCTTCGTTGCCTCATTGATTTACTCCATTGGTTTACTTCAAGGCATTACTTCCCTCATTCATTGGTTCATCGATTCACTGATTCATTGATTCTTCCGACCATGACTCATTGATTCATCGGCTCACTAAATCACTGATTCTTTGGTTCATGGTCTCACTAATTTAATCATTCGTTGATTGATTGCTACGTTGCTTCATTGCTACGTTGCTTCATTGCTTCGTTGCTTCATTGCCTCAATGATTAATTGAGCCATTGGGTCATTGACAAGAAATGGTTCACAGATTCATTGACTGATTGACTCATTGACTCAACGTGCTTCACTGACTCATCGACTTGTTGATTGACTGATTCATTGGTTCATCTCGTCCATTGGTTCATTGTTTGCAGCAGTGGGAATGTCCTTTGGCTATTAATAATCAGCAGAACTAAGTCGTGGGTCGACATGCAAGTGGTTTAGATTGGTAATGGTTTTTTCAAGAGAGAAAAAAAGCAGGACATGAAACAAAATGAAAAGAACTGAAAATAAATAAGAAGAAATGAAAATAAACGAAAATAAATGAAAATAAATGAAAAGAAATGAAAATAAATGAAAATAAAAAGGCACCAGGAAATGAAATAAACCATGAATGAAAACAATAAAACACACAACGAATGATAAAGATATGTGAACATTGGAGGCCACCATATTCCAAACATGAACTGGGTAGAGGTGATTGAGTAGAAACCCCTACAACAAATGGCAAAACCGTTCCAGACCGTTCAACATGAACCATAAACAAGTGAAAACGACATGAACCATAAACATGTGCAGAAATGTCACTACAGATCACTACAGCATGATTTCTGGGAACAATTTTCCAAACATGAATTGCATAGCGGTGACTGGGTACATATTGCAAAACGGTGACATGTTTCTTCTTTTTTGTTTTTTCTTTTTTTCTTTTTTTTTCGTTTTTTTTCTCTTGGGTTTCGCGCCAGTGGGATAACCTGCATTTGGTTGTCAATTGAGAAAATATTTCTTGAGGTCAATTTTTTTTTTCTCTTTTTTCTTGGTTTTCTCTTTTTTGCTCATTTTTGACGAAACAATGTAAAAATATGAAAAATAATGAAAAAATGTGTGTCTATTTTTCGAGAAAAAAAGGAAATCATATACGTGCTGCAAGGGTGTTCCTGGCGCCATGCGCTGCGGAAAACTCTACGATTCTTTGCGCTTTGGTGGCATTTTGGATCCCAGAGTCTTGTGTGGTCAGTTGTGCGCTTTCATTTCAATTTCAGCGCTCACCCATGTCGTCTTCAGCCAATGGTCCTTTGGCCCGTACGGCCAAGCGTCATCGAGAAGTCGACCCAATGATGGCAGGAATGAATCCTTTCCTTGCGTCCATGTTTGGTCCGGCCTTTGCATTGCTTGTCCCTAACCGTGCTGAATCGTGCTGATTTTGTTTTGACGGATCGATGAGGTACGTTGCTACACGTGACCAAAAACGGCATTGGTTCCTGATGTGCCTTTTTTGTCAGTTGTTGTCAGACCGCGTGGCCAGCGTTGTCAAAACAAAATCTGTTTTGATAGGCTTCAGCCTGAACAGATTAAACAGGATGAAGTAAAATCATTTGAATTCTATCTTTTTTATATGTATATTTATTTCTTGTTATGTATATTTATTTCTTTTTATGTGTATTTATTTCTTTTTGTGTATATTTATTTCTTTTTATTTCCTTTTATTTCTTTTTATTTCTGTTTATTTCTTTTTATTTCTGTTTATTGCTGTTTATTGCTGTTTATTTCTTTTTATTTCTTTTTATTTCTTTTTATTTCTCTTTTCTGGCGAAAAAAGCAAAAATATGATTTTAAAGGTGTTTTTTGATTTTCGGATCATCCAAACCATGTTGTAACTAACCTACTGCAACCTGCACCACCACTTAGTCTTGCTGAAATAACACGTTATTTGAAGCTCCGTGTTTTTCAAAAAAACTCGAGTAGCAAACATGTCATTTCATCTGTCGAACGCATGGTATCTCGTCGGAAGAAGACAAAAATTACATTGTCATCTGAAGCTATTTCCGAGATAGCTGTGGTCTCTTGCGAAAATTTGTTGTTTGTCGCAGTTTCGGCTTGAGTTGGGTAACTTATATTTTCTTTTTGGCAAAATGGCCAAGGCTTCCGAGAACTGTTTTCATTGTTGTTGGGACACAGAATCGCTAGGGGTTTTGCAAGTCCTTGTGGTTGTGTGATCCAGGTGACCGTGCCAGAGTCTTTTCGGACCTTGCATAGGCGCACAAGAGTTTCTCCGGACCTCGCGCATAGTTGCCATAGCGAACGAGCGCGCACTTGAGGCTTTGCGTGAATATGTCGATACAAAAGCTAATTGCAAGGGCTAGCTTGCAGAAGTTTGAAGGCCGCTCTACGGTCTGGTTGCCCATCAAAAGAAGAATCCGGGACCCCGGCCAAGTTTTACAAGGGTTTCTGTCGTATGGAAAAAATGTGTTTCTGATGCGCAGAAGACGGAATTTTCAGAGTGGGAATCTAGACTTTGCAAACCTGCTGGTGGCGTTTTTAAGCGGCTTTTTCGAATCTCGCAAGGCCGAATTGAGACGTGCAGGGAAGTAGTCAGCGCGCATCAAGCCCATAGCAACAAAGAGCGGATGCTTGCACAGAAGTAAATGCGAGGCATGGACAGACAGTTCATTGTTGTGGAACGCGAGGTAGCTTTGCAAGAGTGCAAAGAGAAGTTGTGCGCGGAAGATGGAGGGGGTGGCGAGTTTTTCAGGACCACCAACAATTTGGAACTGCAGAGGGCCGATTTGCGAGGATTGGTGAACACGAGCAGAGCAAACCTGGAAGGGAGCGCAAAACTTCATTGTGCGGCGTTTAGCGCACCCAATCCATCGACACATTGATTCACTGATTCATTGGCTCATCGTCTCATTGGTTCAATGTGACTCATTGACACGTTTGTTCACAGATTCGTTGATTCAAGGACCCATTGATTCACTGGTTCAAGTCATTGACTCAATGATTCATTGATTCATCGACTTCATTTGTCCAATGATTCATTGATATATTGGATCATTGGTTCATTGATTCCTTTATTCGTTGATTCATTGACTCATTGATTCGTTGGTTTTTGATTCGTTGATTCATGGTTCATTGGTTCAGTGATTCATTGATGCGCTGCTTCAGTCATTTCGCCGGCATCTCAACCACAATTTGTGCATTCGTACTTGCACCTCACAACTTCAACAGTTCATTGCTTCTGGTCGCATAAACTTTCCTGTTGATTTCTTATAGTCGTTTCATTTTTCCCGAGAGCGTCTGAGCGAAGGGTTCTTCTAATAGTGGGGGTCTGTCAAACATTTTCACATATTCACATCTTCACATCCTCACATCTTCTCGTCTTCACATCTTCTCATCTTCACATCTTTCATCTTTACATCTTCTCATCTTCACATCCTCACATCTTCACACCCTCACACCTTGACATCTTCACATCTTCACATCTTCTCATCTTCACATGTTCACATCTTCTCATCTTCACATCTGCTCATCTTCATATCTTCTCATCCTCACATCTTCTCATCTTCACATCTTCACATCTTCTCATCTCTACATCTTTCATCTTCACATCTTCTCATGCTCACATCCTCACATCTTCACATCCTCACATCTTTACATCCTCACATCTTCACATCTTCTCATCTTCACATCTGCTCATCTTCTCATCTTCTCATCTTCACATCTTCACATCTTTACATTCTCTCTTTCCCTTTTGCTCTCTTGCCCTCTTGCTCTCTCCTTCTTTCCTATTTCTCTCTTAAGGCGAGGGGCAGTGCCAACGAGACGGCACGAAACGCAACCCTTTCGCACGAAACGATGTTCGATCGCCAAAAACTGACGTAAAATCGCGATTTGCACGGGTCCGGCGCAACCTTTTCGCGCGAAACGATGTTCGATCGCCAAAAACTGACGTAAAATCGCGATTTGCACCGGTCCGGCGCAACCTTTTCGCACGAAACGGTGTTCGATCGCCGTAAAATCGCGATTTGCACGGGTCCGGCGCAACCTTTTGGCACGAAACGATGTTCGATCGCCAAAAACTGAAGTAAAATTGCAATTTGCACGGGTTCGGCGCAACTCTTTCGCACGAAATGAGGTTCGATCGCCAAAAACTGCGGTAAAATTGCGATTTTGAAGCGTCCGGCGCAACCCTTTCGCATCTGTGTGTAAAAGCTTCTGTGTGTCAAAGTCTCTGTGTGTGAAAGCGTCTGTGTGTAAAAGCGTCTGTGTGTAAAAGTCTCTGTGTGTAAAAGCGTCTGTGTGTAAAAGCATCTGTGTGTAAAAGCGTCTGTGTGTAAAAGCCTCTGTGTGTAAAAGCCTCTTATGTAAATGTGTCTGCGTGTAAAAGCGTCTGTGTGTGAAAGCTTCCGTGTGTAAAAGCCTTTGTGTGTGAAAGTGTTTGTGTGTAAAAGCGTCTATCTGTAAAAGTGTCTGGGTGTAAAAGCGTCTGTGTGTGTAAAAGCCTCTGTGTGTAAAAGCGTCTGTGCCTAAAAGCTTCTATGTGTAAAAGCGTCTGTGTGTAACAGGGTCTGCGTGTAAGAGCTTCTGCGTGTAGAAGCTTCTGTGCAAAAGCGTGTGTGTGTGTGTAAAAGTGTCTGTGTGTAAAAGTGTCTGTGTGTAAAAGCTTCTGTGTGTAAAAGCTTCTGTGTGTAAAAGCTTCTATGTGTAAAAGCGTCTGTGTGTAAAAGTGTCTGTGTGTAAAAGTGTCTGTGTGTAAAAGCGTCTGTGTAAAAGCGTCTGTGTGTAAAAGTGTCTGCGTGTAAAAGCGTCTGTGTGTAAAAATCTCTGTGCGTAAAAGTCTCTGTGTGTAAAAGCGTCTGTGCGTAAAAGTGCCTATGTTCAAAAGCCTCCGTGTGTAAAAGCTTCTGTGTGTAAAAGCGTGTGTGTGTGTAAAAGCGTCTGTGTGTAAATGTGTCTGTGTGTAAAAGCGTCTGTGTGTGAAAGTGTTTATGTGTAAAAGTCTCTGTGCGTGAAAGCGTCTATGTGTAAAAGCGTCTGTGTGTAAAGGGTCTGCGTGTAAAAGCGTCTGTGTGTAGAAGCTTCTGTGTAAAAGCGTGTGTGTGTGTGTGTAAGTGTCTGTGTGTAAAGCTTCTGTGTGTAACAGTGTCTGTGTGTAAAAGCGTATGTGTGTAAAAGCGTCTGTGTGTAAAAGCTTCTGTGTGTAAAAGCGTCTGTGTGTAAAAGGTTCTGCGCGTAAAAGTGTCTGTGTGTAAAAGCGTCTGGGTGTCAAAGCTTTTGTGTCTAAAAGCGTCTGTGTAAAAGTGTCTGTGTGTAAAAGTGTCTGTGTGTAAAAGTCTCTGCGTGTAAAAGCTTCTGTGTAAAAGCCTCTGTGTGTGAATGTGTGTGTATGTGTGTTAAAGCGTCTGTGTGTAAAAGTGTCTGTGTGTAAAAGCGTCTGTGCGTAAAAGAATCTATGTGTAAAAGCGTCTGTGTGTAAAAGGGTCTGCGTGTAAAAGTTTCTTTGTGTAAAAGCTTCTGTGTAAAAGCGTGTGTGTGTGTAGAAGTGTCTGTGTGTAAAAGCTTCTGTGTGTAAAAGCGTGTGTGTGTAAAAGCGTCTGTGTGTAAGTGTGTCTGTGTGTGAAAGCGTCTGTGTGTAAAAGCGTCTGTGTCTAAAAGCTTCTGTGTGTAAAAGGGTCTGTGTGTAAAAGCCTCTGTGTGTAAAAGCGTATGTATGTAAAAGCATCTGGGTGTAAAAGGGTATGCGTGTAAAAGCTTCTGTGTGTAAAAGCTTCTGTGTGCAAAAATCTGTGTGTGAAAGTGTTTAGGTGTAAAAGTGTCTGTGTTTAAAAGCGTCTGTGTGTAAAAGTCTGTGTGTGTAAAAGCTTCTGTGTGTAAAAGCTTCTATGTGTAAAAGCGTCTGTGTAAAAGTGTCTGACTGTAAAAGCGTCTGTTTGCAAAAGCCTCTGTGTGTAAAAGCGTCTGTGTGTAAAATCTTCTATGTGTAAAAGCGTCTGTGTGTCGAAGCGTCTGTGTGTAGAAGTGTCTGTGTGTAAAAGCGTCTGTGTGTAAAAGCGTCTGCGTGTAAAAGCTTCTATGTGTAAAAGCCTCTGTGTGTAAAGTGTCTGTGTGTACAAGCTTCTGTGTGTGAAAGTGTCTGTGTGTAAAAGCGTCTGTGTGTAAAAGTGTCTGTGTGTAAAAGCTTCTGTGTGTAAAAGGGTCTGCGTGTAAAAGCGTCTGTGTGTAAAAGCTTCTGTGTAAAAGCGTCTGTGTGTAAAAGCCTCTGTGTGTGAAAGTGTGTGTGTGTGTAAAAGCGTCTGTGTGTAAAAGTGTCTGTGTGTAAAAGCGTCTGTGCATAAAAGCTCCTATGTGTAAAAGCGTCTGTGTGTAAAAGTGTCTGTGTGCAAAAGTTTCTTTGTGTAAAAGCTTCTGTGTAAAAGCGTGTGTGTGTGTGTAAAAGCGTCTGTGCGTAAAAGTGCCTATGTTCAAAAGCCTCCGTGTGTAAAAGCTTCTGTGTGTAACAGCTTCTGTGTGTCAAAGTCTCTGTGTGAAAGTGTCTGTGTGTAAAAGTATCTGTGTGTGAAAGCATCTGTGTTCCAAAGTGTCTTAAAAGCTTCTGTGTGTAAAAGTGTGTGTGTGTGTGTAAAAGCGTCTGTGTGTAAATGTGTGTAAAAGCGTCTGTGTGTGAAAGTGTTTGTGTGTGAAAAACTATACGAAGGATACGATGCAAACTATTGTTTTGTACTTGTAAATATTGTCTTGATACTAGTCTGTCTCGTCTGCCTTTAATAGATCTTTAATATATTGTCTTGTAATATAGTGTCTCAATACTAACAACAAAAGACCCTGCTCCTCTACGCTCTCGGGCCATCCGTTGTCTAGTTTCGAAACTTCCGCACCGGTATGGGCCGGGCACCGTCGTAAAACACGTTGTCCAGGATTGGCAACCTAGGTTTGGGTCTCAATCTTAGTTAGACCGTTATTACGAACTTCGTCCATGTTTGAAATACAGATTCAAATCAAATCTCACAGCCTTGGAAAACGTCGCATGCACAAGATTGAACGGATGCAAAATATGCCAAAGTCATGTAATGCCAAAAACAAAATCTGACACATCTTTATTAAATCAAGTTAAGAAGCAATCTACGTGGGCTTTGCACCGTTTGAGCGAGCTGCTGCAGAAAAATAATAATGACGGAGGTAGAAGCCTAGTAATACACCCCAGGATCAGCACTTCCCCAATGACAGCATACATTTCCTGTTGTGTATGTGGTATGTTGAATTCACGCAAGTAGTTTGCAATCTGGTTTCCGACTAGTCTTGCAATAAAATAAATGCGCGTGTCTATTACTATGACATTTTCTGGCAACATTTCATCCTTCGTCCCCAGAATACTGCTCGCCCAGAGAAAATCTAAATCTTTCAGCGTTCAGCCTTCAATGGATCTTCCAGTCCTGGCAGCCATGCAGCTTGTCATGGAACAAGGAAGGCATCGAATGAAACCGGCAGCTACAAAGTTCCTGCTAGGCCAGGTAGCCATCTGAATCATTCCCTTGCGCAAGATCAAACGCACGAATGATGGCATGAAAAACTTTCAGAGCAGCTGTGTTCGCATGTGTTTTTCTCTGTCTATGCTGATCTTCGTTCTCGGCGTGCTTAAAATTTACCTCTACCGCACCCAATCTGCATGACGCGCAAGGCCGTGGTGACAACAAAAACAATGCCACATCCGTTGGATCTTCAGGCTTCCAACCAATGATACGTGATGATGTGAATATGTACTTAAATAACATCTAGACACGGCTAAGCTTGAACAAAGGCCACGTTCATGCGGCGCAATGTCTCTTGCATCGCGCCGGAAGTTTCTTCGGGCCTCACTTGCGACAAGCAATGATCTGATAGCGGGGACAGCGGGTAAAGTGCCTTGCAAATCAGGTCTAAAGCCTCAGATCGTGTTTCTGCGATCGCAAAGAATTCCAAATTCTCTCTAGAATCCCTGAACCTCTTCATGAGATCGGCCTGTGCTTGTGGAAACTCTGCTTGCCCATCAGAGTGGATCATGATGAATTGCTTGTCATACTTGGCTTTGTTCCCTTGGACCAGCTGCATCGCATGATCCAATGGGCGGGTAAAGTTTGTGCCGCCTCCTTTGTATGTGATATTATTTGTGCAGCTGGCGTGTTTGTCCAGAGGCGTCTGGTTGCAAACCACCCGAGCAACGTGGCTAAACATTACCAGAGACACAGCTGATGCTGTGCCCTGATTCTTCAAAGCGGCCTGCGTTGCAAAATCCTCCACAGCCCGCTTGGCAGCTTCAAACTTTCGCCCGCGCATGCTGCCAGACTCGTCCAAGCAAATCACATAGTGGTGCGTTGCAGCTACATGGCTTTGAATCCATTTCTTGTGAAAATCCAGGTATGCATCCGTGGCCTGCTTCCGGTCGCCGGCAACCAATGCGTCAAGCAAAGCACGTGAGAGGACGTCTTTCTCATGAGCATCTTCCAATTCCGAGGCCAAATGTGCAAACCGCTCAGCAGACTTTTGATCACGAGCTAGCTTCATCTTCTCGTAGCCTATGCCTGAGACATAAATCGAAATTACAACCCAGCATGTCCTACAAACACATGGCCCATCCAAAAAAAAAACGCTAGATTCAAAAGTTCCATGTTGCCTTGGCCATCATGAAGGATGTCAGCCCCAATGCCCAGCTTCTCTTTGAGGTCTTCTTCCCGCAAAATGAGGCTGTAGGTGCCCTTCTTTCCTTGCCGAGCCGTGCGGCCCTGAAACTGAACCTCTTCGCTGGAATCTGCGGAAGGAAATGTTTGGAGGACATGTGCCCCACCATGTTCTTGGAGCTTGTCGTCATATGAAACAAAATCACTTCCGCGGCCAAACGGCGCTGTTGCCAAAGTGATTTGCCCTGTGTTGGCTGCCTTTTTGATGATGTCAGCTTTCTCATCAAAGGAGAGTTTCTCTACCAAAACTTTTGGAGATGGCAGCTTCGGGAAGAAGGAGGACCTGCGGAAGTCCTCGAGAAGGTGCTCGTTCTGAAAGAAAACAATGACGGCCCTCTTTTCTTTGATCTTCTCCTGAATTGCCACCGCAATTTCTTGGTAGAAGTCTGCAGCTCGAACAACTTTGATGGCATCACCGCCCTTCTGCCTGAGGAAAAGAAATTGGGATTGTCCATAAACGGATGGCATGGTTGTGAAAACGTGCAAGCCATGTTTCTGAACTTCTCGTCGTTGAAAAGGCTGGAGCTGTTCCACTGTGCCGGACACTCCGAAAATGTACCGGGGGCTGATATTGGTGTAGGAGAACTGACCACAAGGCAGGAGCATGCTGAGGGCCTCATTCAAAGTCGCCTCTGTTTTGTTCAGCTTCTTCTGGTCCTCAAGATACGCAAATGCAGTCTTGTAGCCTAAAACTGCATCACAATCGACTCTATCTTGAATCTTGTAACCGATGCAGTTTTGAACTGGATTGAATTCCGGCATGGGATCGTTTTTCTGCATGTAGTCATGCAAGTTAGCGCACATCATCCTCACCTGGGATTCAATCACCATCTCAAAGGTTTTGAAAGCCTTCACCAACTTCTGGTATTGTTCTCCTGACTTCACATCAAAGCAAAGTTTCTGCGCTGCCTGGGACGTCTTTGCATCCGTTCGCCTCTGCCACAGACTCTCCAGGACTTTGCGCGCACTAGGATGCTGCAATCTTGCAACTTGATCATGCGTCTTGCCAACAAATTCTGGGCCCATGAAGACATCAACTTCATCGACTAAGAGCACCTGGTTCTTGCTGATATCCCCTTGCGACGTAGCCGCTTTTGATTTCAGAGGCCTCCCTGCAAAAAGATCCAACGTGAGTGACCGGATATCACCCTTTGCAGCCACCATATCTTCACTGAAAGTGGTGATTTTGCTATATTCGATTTTCGATGCTACTTTGAAGTCAGAAAAGGTGGCATGAAAGTCCTTGGCATCTCTGCTGCTGAGGTAGTCGGAGTAGCACGCATCCCGAACATAAAAACCAAGCATTGCAAAGATCGTGGCAGCCGCTCCCAAGATGAGGGATTTCCCACCGCCAGTCTCCACTTGGATCAGCTGGTTTGCAAGATCTCGTTTATTCCCATCACCAAAGCCGAAGAAACGGAGAATCGCCAGAACTTGAATGTTGTGAGGAGTTTTGATGCCACCAAGCAAAGCCTGGATATCTACATCCTTGCTCTGCAACTTGCTGGCGGCAGCAAATGACATGAACTCTTTCCCGGTGGCTGTGATGCTGTAGTACGCAAAAACGTGCGCCAGCAGCCTCACTGCCGACAAGGCATGGCAAAATCATTATTTGCTTGGCCCACTTTGAAAACAACCTGTCCCAGATGCATCCAAGGAACTGCGGAAGGGAGTCTTTGATCCGCAACGGGTCAAGCACTGTGCCTTTGCCACTTACATTATGGTCCCTGCGAAGGGCAGATACTTGTTGCAGGCACTCGTTGACGATATCTGTGAGTTGGATTTCGCCATCAAGGGACCTGTTGAGCAAGGCATCATAATGATCCCAGAAGCTTCTCAGCCCCTTCTTGAGATCATTTTTGTCCAGGGAAGCGTTCTGGTTATCAAGAACTTGTTTAGCTTCCATCTCCTTGACACATTCTTTGGGATCCTTTTGCATTTTTTGCACAGCTTGGTTCCAGAACATGTTCTGGACATTCTGGAACTGCTTGAACTCTGAAGCAATTCTCTTGGCTGCTGCCGATCTACTCATAGTCCCGTCATCCACGCTGCCGCTAACATCGCTATATTGCATAAGAAACTTCCCCAGGTTCAAGACGTATTGAACTCCCTTGGATGCCATGTTCAGCAGCTCATTCATCTGCTCCAAGACATAAGCTGTAAAGGTTGGGACTTCAAAGGCTACCAGGCCAAGTGTGATGAATTTGTTGGCGAAACCTTCCAGCTCCCAACTGCCTTCCCGGCCCTCCTTCAGCTTGCTCACCGCTTCTTCGCGCAGCACCTTTACATCGCCACGTATCCTTTGCTCCAGCTCGTCCAAAACATTCTGAAGTTGGTCAAGTTTCGGATCAACTTCTTGAATTTCTCTCATGGCCACTAAGGTTGACTGCAGGGATTTGTACATTCTCTTTCTGTAGTGCTCGTTGGCCTGACTTGCCAAGCCTTTCGAGCGGCCAACAATTTCCTCCTGTGCGAATCGAACCAGCACACAGACGGCACCACAAACCCCAATTCAACTAGAAAACATGTGCACATAGACCTCCGGAAACAAAGCAGCTAAAAGCAACCTTTAGTGGGCCTACGGGCAACTAGCAATGTCATTCTTCACGCTTTGCGCAATCGCAGCAAAATGTATGCTGTTCAAATTTTTGGACAATGACAACGCGTACAAACGCCAAAGATCTGAGCTGGGGAAGAAATTCCCAATTCCCAATGCCGGGAGACTGGCTAGAAGTGCGCGAATGTGCGAATATGTGCGACTGCATGCGCTTGGGACAGCAACAGCAACGGCTGAGCAATCACCTTGCGACACACTTGTGCGTGCATGCTACGAAACTGCACCCATCCCAAATGGCTTTCTATACCACAGGTCAAAAAAAAATAACGGTGTTATAGCGTCAGAAGCGCGCAGCTTCATTCATCCAGCACTCGCTGTTGCAATGCTCTTCGCGGCCAATGGTCAAAACACAATGGCACTCACAGGTAACAACGACCCAGGCCAAGACGTCACGTTTGAAGCACCTTCCCTCGAGAAGTGTCCTACAAGAGAATAAAAAGACCAGCGCGTATCTTTTCAAAGCATTGCAGCAGCCACGCGCATGCATGTCCCAACGCAGAGCCGCAAAACACAATGGCATACTGCCCAGCAGCGCCACACAGCTGCGCTAGAACCCTACCCATGTGCTTTGCCAGAATACGCCACCATGGCCATTAATGGCGACATCGGATTAATAACCACCCCCATAGGTCAACCAGGTCAACAAGGTCCAGTCAGGGGGTCCAAAAACCGAACCACCTAAATAATGTGCCCATTCATTCACACCCATAAACGATAATCATGAGATTCCTATGAGAAAAGATAAGAAAACCAATTGTAAACCATCAGATTCATATGGGGGAAGATTCGAAAATTAATCGTAAACCATCAGATTCCTATGAGAAAAGATGAGAAAACCTATGGTAAACCATCAGATTCCTATGGGGAAAGATTGAAAAAGAATGGTAAACCATCAGATTCCTATGGGGAAAGATTAGAAAGCTAATGGTAAACCGTCAAATTCCTATGAGAAAAGATGAGAAAACCTATGGTAAACCATCAGATTCCTATGGGGGAAGATTAGAAAATTCATGGTAAACCATCAGATTCCTATGAGAAAAGATGAGAAAACCTATGGTAAACCATCAGATTCCTATGAGAAAAGACTAAGATGAGAAAACCTATGGTAAACCATCAGATTCCTACGGGGAAACATTAGGAAAAGAAAACTAATGGTAAACCATCAGATTCCTATGAGAAAAGAAAAGAAAACTTATGGTAAACCATCAGATTCCTATGGGGAAAGATTAAAAAGAAAGGGGTAAACCATCAGATTCCTACGGGGAAACATTAGAAAAAGAAAACTAATCGTAAACCATCATATTCCTGATTTCCTGAGAGAGGTTGCATTTTGGAGCATCAGATCTTCAGGTTTGCTGAGATGATTTTGCGTGACAGGTGCAGCACTTCGTATGACCTGGCATCACTTTTTCGTGGCAGGCGCAGTAGTTTAGACAGGTGGAGTGGAAAAATCGCAAAACAAAGTGGCACGAGGCCATCAGCTCTGCACTCAACTTTCCATTTTTGAATTGTTTCGTTTTTGATGTTGTCACTTCGAAAATTGAGGAAGTCTCGCAGAATGGTTCCGTTTTTGATGTTGTCAAAAATTGAGGAAGTCTCCCAGAAGTGCAGCGTTTTTTTTTTAATGTTGTCAAGTTCAAAAATTCAGGAAGTCTTGCAAAATAGCTGAGTTTTCAAGCTTGCAGATAGATGAGATAGATGAGATAGATGAGATAGATGAGATAGATGAGATAGATGAGATAGATGAGATAGATGAGATAGATGAGATAGATGAGATAGATGAGGTAGATGAGATAGATGAGATAGATGAGATAGATGAGATAGATGAGATAGATGAGATAGATGAGATAGATGAGATAGATGAGATAGATGAGATAGATGAGATAAATGAGATGAGATAGATGAGATAGATGAGATAGATGAGATAGATGAGATAGATGAGATAGATGAGATAGATGAGATAGATGAGATAGATGAGA